GAGAGAGAGAGAGGTTTTATTTATGCATCTTTGCCTAATTTCTCATCAACTACCGGTCCAGATCGAGAGAGGCACAAGAGGTTTCATTTATGCATCTTTGTCTAATTTGTCATCGACTGCCAGTTGAGAGAGAGAGAGAGAGAGGGGGGTGTTGGAGTTGCTATTTTATGCATCTTTGCCCAATTTCCCATCAACTACCAGTCTTGCACGAATGTTAGGTCTGATCAACCCAGTGTTTATAAACTTGGAATCCCTTCTCATGTTTGACTCCTGCTGGCCTATCATGGAATTAGTAATGCTTGCTTCTCATGCGTCTTACTCATGCTTCTTACCCATGTTACCCATGTTATTAATTAAAACTCAGTGCCATGAGCTCATGATATCCCTAATAGGTTATTGAAATTTTGTCTAGATTTTTTTTTTTTGGATCGGTTTTAAATTCTTTTTAGAGTGTATTTACTTAAAGAGTTATGAAACCTACCCTAATATGCTTTAGCGTGCATGATTTGTGCATGGTACACATTTCCAATATTTTCATGTGAAGCAATCTCAAACAGTCTATTTAGCCATTGTAACATAGATGAAATTTGTGCCTACTAATCGGGCCAAAAAAAAATTGTTTATATAAAGTATCAACCTCAGCACATCAAAAACCACATTAGTTATTCCAACCTTGGAGAACCCTCCAATTGATTATCTTGAGGTCGAGATGTGGATATATAAAAACAAAAAACAAAAAAAACATTCAAGTAATTCTTGTTAAATTATCTATTTTCAATATTTTCAAGTGTTTATAAATATGTTCGATTTGTATTATTTTTGGAATTTTAAATCTCTTAATAAGGGAAATGAATAGAATTTTAGGCCATTAGCAAGGTTTTCGGAAACTGCATCTTCCAACGGTTGGAGGTATGCATTACTTAGATATTTAAGGTTGATGGCTTATATAAACCGCACCCAAAACAAGTTATAAAAAACAAAAATATAAACAAAATTTATGTTATGTAATAATTTAAAATATTTTTTAATATTTTTATTTATCATCCTATTTGTCTTATTCTTATTGATAATAAAGTTTGTATTATTATTTTGGTTAGATCGACGAGGAAGAGGGCCCTTTTTTTTATTTTTTAGCATCAACAAATTTCATCACTTCAGAATTTGTGTAGAAACAGAAATGTACAACAAAAAGGACAAAAAAAAAGGAAGGAAAAAAATTCTAAAGGTAGTTATTCTCATATAAAATCCTACAAGGCCTTCTAAGAGATGAGCAACATGTAAAAAGAAGAAAAGGAGTAAAAACAGAGAAGCGAATTCAAGGTTACTTCTCTAGCAATGGCATCTGCTGCGTGGTTCCTCTCTCTATTGATGTGCTGAAAAATCACAGTTCTGCCTACACAGTTGCATAATCTCGTCCATCACCATTTGCCATTTCCAAGGTTTTTCCTGTGGTTTTTTGCACCATTTTATTACATTTGGTAATCTCCTTAGCCACCACCCTGTCATGTGGTTGTATCTTAAGTAATACATGCCTTAAGCCATTAGTTTGGATTCATTTGCTGCGCAACCCGGCAGTCTGCCCTTAAAATTTCAAATAATTTATCCCCTATGATATCTGAGAAGGCCACCATAGTTCACTGTCATGCCCGACCCTCCCATCATAGTTAAGCTTGACCCATCTTGGGCTCTAGTATGTGGGTTTTTGAACATGACTTTAGTGAAGAATGCAAATTCATACTGAATTCTTAAGTAATATATGCATCAAATTCTTTAGTTCCAAACTTACACTAAAAATGAAACTCAAGACATCACGTTATGGTACCCAATACTAAAAATGAAACTCAAGACATCACGTTATGGTACCCAATACCCTGACTGAGATTATTCTCAAACCTCCTTGTTGCCAGCTTCATGGGAGAACTTCTCAACCCTCTGTGCTATATTTTCATATAACATATGATGCAAAAAAATATTATTATTTACACGCATGGGGACATTTAAGGGACGTTAACCTCATGCTAACTAAATATATGAAAGGCATCAATGATGTTATTTCCTTGTTAAGGTTTAAAGAAAAGTGTATATGCACCGGGCACTTCTTATACTGGAGTTGATACTCCAATTTAATGACACAATTGACACGTGTGGACTATGTGTCTAACCTTGTCATTACATTCTCAAGCGTCGGCATGCAAGACCAACTAAAACTAGAGAGGTCTATGTACCATTGATGGGATACAATCAATTTTAGTATATCAAAATATACATTTCCCTACCATAATATTTGTGGGAAATTATGGCCCATGAGGCATATTTAAATATTTAATCAAGAAATCCAACAATGATCATATTGGCTTACATGTGAATTATCATGATATTGGTAATATGAAAAAAAATATTCGTATACCCAAATATTATTACGTCATTAGAAGCCTAATCAGAATGAGAGTTTTGCCGGTGTCAAGACTCCCGGGCGGCAAAGTTGTACTTTGGGGCTCAACTTCTAGGGGTCCTCAATTTTAAGAATTAATTGCATGAAGTAAATACTCTATAAATAGAGGTTGAGATTGAAGAGTAATCACCAATCATGTTATGTCATTATGCTATGTTAAGAGCCATATCTTTCACTGAAGTCATAAGTCCCCGTACATTTTCTCACTACTTCCAACTATATCTTTTTTTGGCCTACCCCTTGCATTTTTTAAACATTCCATTTGAATTAACTCGAACCTCTTAAAAAGTGTTGTATTGGGTTTATGCCACATACAGCCAATCCACCTAAGTCTACTCTCTCTCTTCTTATCGCCTAATGGTTGGAAGTAGTGAGACTGAAAAGTGATGATTAGCCTAAATAAAGGTCGAGAGTGAAGAGTAATAATTTGCCTCTCTTACTTGTAATGTTGAGGGAATCGACTCAACCAAGGTACTTGGCCATTAGCTAAGGCAAGTAACTCGTTGAGTCCAATTGGACTGGGCAGTTATGCATACCTATTTAGCATGTAAAGTAATAAAAAATAAAAATAAAAATAAAACAAAATAAAAAAAGATACTAAAAATCCAAAAAAAGTATTTATAGTTAATAGAAATCAGTTAGAAGCCTAAAGAAGATGGGAAAAAAAGAGTATAGAGTATGAATTCTTGAGAAATTTGATTTATACTTTGAATATTTAAAAGTAAAAAAAAAAAGATCCCAAATCATCCTAAAAAGTATCAAAATTACCATGCCGCTAGGGCACGGCCGAATTACTTGGCTAAGTCGATTGCTGCTTGTACCCTTCACTGTGAGTTTGGCCTATAGGATTTAGATTTGTACCCAAATCCCTATTGTGGTTTGAAAATATCCCGGCAAAATATGGGTGAGGTTTGTATAAGGTGTCAACTCTAAACAATCACGATAAGGTGCACCGCAAAATCTTGATGCATTTTCGATGCTCACACTCTTGTGATGGCCTAAAAATCTATTTTTTTTATCCCTATTATGAAATCGAAAGCTCCAAAAATAATGCAAATCTAGCAAATTTAGGAATACCATAAATCTTGACAATGGACGGTATAGATAATGTGTTACAATGTGTACTACTT